AGTGTAGTGTGTAGTGTTTACAGAGTTTCAGACTGCAGTTCAGGAGAATTCAAGAGTGCCTTGAGTCCTCTCACCAGGAGAAAAGTGGTCTACAAATTACGTATACTAAATAAACCAAGTGTTCAAACTTCTACTCGGCTATGCAGACTCACTGATGGGTGGCAATGATAAAGCCACTTCTTAAAAATCCCATAAACCCCTTGACAGCACATGACACACAGAGGCTTGAAAAACACAGAAAAATGCTCTTGGCTTTCCTCTAGTGGCCAATTCTGACAATACACCTTGGAAATATTTATAAAAATAAAAGAGGGAGCCAGAGTAAACTTCATTGCCACCTTCAAGGCAAAGTTCTCCATGACCTTAACCCTGAAAAGGGTCATCATAAGTCAGAATTGACTTGACGGGGCACAATTATTATAATTAATTGGCATTATTTCCCTTGGGTACCATTCATTTTCCATCCTCCTCCTAATGCAAATTGCAAGGCCCGGTCTGGAAAAGTGAAACTGTGTATGTCTATCTCCTAGAAGCTCCCGGCCTTCACACGACACTTTGCCAAGCAAAATGATTCAGCCTCTTGTGGTGTTTAGGTCTACGACGGACAGAATGTAGGACTCGTTCTGAACACCTTGGAAGCGATTGCTGGTGCCATACATAGCACCATGCTTCTGACACAGGGTATCTGGAAGACATCTTGCAAGTTCTCCACCCCACTCGGAGATGGCTAGAAGCCCATACAATTGAAAAAGTTGGCTTTGATCTATAAAGCCCGGCCAAGCACTCTGGGTTTTGTATATGGAGGCCGGCACAACTGAAGAATTCCTGTTGGAATTGATTGGCCTCTAAGAATCTCATTCTAAGTCCTCTACCTTCTGAAACAACTGGAGACACGAGGCGTCCCTTTCTTTGGTACTCTCCTTCTGAAATCTCTTCAAGGAAGTTGGACTGGCATTACCTCTTTTGTCACCCGGGCTAAGTAAATACCTCACTTTTCCAAGCCTCTTAAGAGTTTTCATCTGTGGATATTATTTTATACTGGAATTTTGTTCTGTTCTGCTGTTACTTCTTTTACTGTGGTTTTTGTTGCTCGGTTTTGTAAGTTTTGACTGATGACTGGCAATAAGCTTCTTGAATAATAAAATGAATAATGAAGGAGGCACCTCCTCCATTTGGAAGAACTGCTGGATAGCTCAGTGGTTTAAGCGTCTGGGTGCAGAGCCAAACGTTGGGAGTCTGGTTCTCCACTGGTCGTTCTTGACAAGGGCTGGATTTCGGTGAGTCCGTAGGGTCCCTTCCAGCTCTGCAAGTCTAAGATTATTAATCTAAAGGATGGGCAACACATGGTCTTCCAGATGTTGCTGGATTACAACTCCCATCAGCCAGTCAGTACAGCTAATTATGAGATACGCCAGCAGTTACTGTCCAACATTCCTGCACCCACAGCTTTAAGAAACTATGAATTAAGCCGTGCGGCACTCACAAAGCTGTTCGAAGGAACTACCTCTCCATCCAACAAAGCAAAATGGGAATGAAGGAAAACAACTGGAATCGCTGTACAAATAACCTTTATTGAGATATCTATATTAAGATGCACAGATGTTTCTTCACCGTATTTCAGTTCTCATAAGGACTACCTGAAGTAGTACAAGAGGGCTATAAAAACAATTACTGTATGGAATCAGACGGAAGTAGAAGAGTGGTCACCAGCTTCAAGAAAATGATAACTTAAGAAGAGAACAGCACACACTGCAATCAGACAGTGCTTATGGCCCCATAGTCTCACTAACTGTCCATATCACAGTCTTCAATAGGATGCTGTCCGGTGCTTAGCTGTTGCACACAGACAGTGGATGAAGGGTTGAGAAACAATCGTGTAGCGTAGACACAATCAGCAGTCAATAGGCAGCTATTCTATATAAAATGGGAATACAACTCACGTCTCTCTTCTTTGCTCCAATGGTGGAAAGCAGTCACTGGATCTGCCTCCTTTCCCACCGACATACTCACGCGGAGGAATAAATACAAACGGGTGGTGCCGAGATCCCAATGGCTTAAATATTGATAGAAATTCAAAGGGCCCTTTCCCCAAAACATCTCCCAGGCAGGTAAAGATTGTTGTGACCCTTTATAGGTGTTCCAGCCTCTGGAAAGTGGCACTCCACACTTTACTTATGAAAAGACAAGGGAATAACATCTATGAAACATGAACACAAACATCAGTGCCTTGCGGAGGGGCTCCTCCTAGGCATCCATTAGGTTTGCCGCTGTGAGAACTGGAGGATGGACCGGGAAAACCTTGGGTCCAATCCAGCATGATACCTAATATTAGACACACAAAACTGGAGAGGGAGAGAACTGGGACTTTTAGATTACTTGAAGGGAAATTATCCGACATACATTTTACACTGTCGACGAAGAGACACGCTGGTATGTATTGCAACCTCTGGTGGATTTCAACACAAAAACTTCAGAAAAGGGGCCGATTTCAAGGGAAGCAGAAACCCATCTGGGTTCCACATTCTTAATATGTAATATTCTGAGTGACCTTCGGACCCCATATAAGTGGTGTGTGGTCTTTTCCCCCTACAGTTTCTTTTCTTGGCAACACCAGGGCCTGGCTGGCAGAGATGTGGGCGATCTTACAAGAGCAGATGGAAAAAAGCGCAAGCAACTGAAAAGTGCAGAATTGAAGAGGGAATGCCTGAGACAGAGAGCAAGGAGCAAACTAGAGGAATCTGAAAGAAAAGGGTGGAGATCAACTGAACACAATAAATACCAGCAGTCAAGAGATCCGTAAAGGAGTTTTCCAATCTGTTGCAGCCCTGGCTAAGTGCAAAGCTGTAACGCCATGTGTGAAGTACACTGTACAACTAGCTCTCCTCCTATCAAGAGAATATCAGCACTGAGGCTTTGGTAAGAACAGCAGACTTGTAGGGAGCAGGGAGGAATTAGAAACACATAGAACTATTAGCTGCAGCGAAAGGAACAAGGAAGAGTCTACCGTCACCTTAAAAAGCAAGAAGTTTTTATCTGGCATAAGCTTTCATGGACGGCAGCTCCTTTGCATCGATGAAGCGGGCTCCGGTCCACAGAAGCTCATGCCAGATGTGACGGGTACAGCCCAAGGCAATTCAGCTCTCCTAGACGTTTGTGAAGGGCGAGAGTTAGGGTTTGGCTGTTCATAAAACACTACCCGTACAGAGATGGCGGGCAAGATACTCTCTAGACTCTTGTCGGGGAAGGACTGACAAGGGCTGTTCTCTGCTGCAGCGAAGTGACTCACGTACGTAGGAGACAAGCAAGTTAAGGCAAACATAGGGACTCATTACCCAAAGTATACCTGCTAAGGAGCATCGTGAGTCATGGAGCACCAGACAGCACCGAGTAAATGGTCAGGGATGTGTTTATCACCACCCTCTCCCTATGGAAAGCAGAAAGTGCACTTTTGCCATAATATGATTTGCAGCCTATAGTGACTGTCAGCTTTCCAAGGTGTGGCCAGAGCCAACCACAAAAGAAGGCACAGACTCTTAGCTCTGAAGTGGAGATCGAACCAACAGCATCACTGGTATTTTGGTGCCAAAAGGACATCAGCAACTCCACTGTTGGGTGGCCCAAATCCGCTCGGCACTTATCTTGCCACTCATTTGAAGGACGTCTGGGCAGGCATCACCTCTACCCAGCTCCAAATCCACAATTCCAAATCCACTTCCTCCAGCACCAACGTTGACACCAGGCTACGTAGGTTGCAAAAGAACAACAGTCAACATTGACCTGGATTCCCACCACCACCAACCCACACCTTATGTTCTGATGTTTTGCAGAACAGGAAGGTGCTCCATCCACCTGGGTTGAGGCTTCTGAAAATGGAAGAAATGCGCAAAGGAATGTCCTCAGGAAACGTCATAAAGCAAGAGCATGCTGTGTGGGGTGTGGGAGAGAGAGAAATGAAATACATGGCAGGTCCTCTCTTTCCATAAAGGCTATGCCTTTTATGTCCCCAGGCCATGCTCTCCTTCAGCTCCGCACCCAAAAAGGAAACCAAGGATAGCCATGTCCGAGATCTAATAAAATGCACCAACAACTTCAGAGCCATGTTGCACAGGACAGATGCATGCAGACACAGAACAGTCTCCGTTCCAGTGGATTAAAATGCCATGTTTTTGACCCCTTGTGGGAAAATCGCCAGGACCAGGAACTCTTGTCTGCAGCTGCACATTCCAGAAAACCATCATCTCCACACCATGTGAGGAGCGCAGGTCTCCCTTCTGTCAAGCGAGACCACTAGTCTATCCAGCTTACCTTTCCCTTCCCTACGGAGAGCTGCTGGATATCAGTCCTTAGGATGTCTTGCATTCGAAGCAGGTGCTGCATCACTGGGTTGAGGTCTTTAGTATGGGATGCACCTAACAACCATTTCAGCTTGAATCATTTTAAGGCCTAAAGGGAGCACCTCTTCACCACTCAACATGCCACATGGGCTTAGTGTCGAGTCTAAGTCTTCAGGATTAGGCCAGAAGCAGGAAAACCCATTTGGGTTTGCAGTCTGAACCATTTGAAAGCAACAATATTTTCAAATTTCCCTTTTCATACATCAGGGTGGGAAATCTCCAGAGGTCTCAGAACTGCCATGTGCCCCTCCTGCTCCCAAGATCTTCACGTCCCGGTTTTTAATTCAGTTAGAAATATGGTTTCGTAGGCAGCTTTTGAATATTTTTCTTCTGAACTAAGGCTTTTGAAGGGACACTCCCCTCTGAATTCTGGCCCCTCTCCTCCCCTCCCCCCTGTTCAATTTGCCTTACATATTGGAGCGCCAGGCTGAGCTCAACTAGAAGGTTCTGGAAGCTTAAGAGCCCCATGCAAGCGGTTGGATTAGCAACAATCTGTCTGGACACACAAATCGGGGTCTCTGCAAATTACCCTCCCAATATGAAGAAGTTCAGAATCCCCTGAAGCTGGTAAGCCCGACTGGCAGTGGAAAGACTTACACTCCAGACAAATCTGCACATCTGATTTTATACACCACACTCCTGAACATGAAATGAGAGTTACAATTCAAGGACAGCTTGATTGCAGCTTAGAACATGTCCTCATTCTTATTATTTTAGAAAAAAAAAGAAAGAAGACAAAACGAACGCCCAGTTCAAAGACGATGACAAAACAGATTCCTGTTGTAAGCAGCTTGCAAAGATCAAGGTACCATAGAGAAAGGCACATTAATCTGAGTGGTCCAGTGTGTCGTTATTTGGATGAACATTGTAGTGACATATAAACCCTGAGACTGTGGGAGGCGATGAGGAAGAGCTGACCAGTTGCACAGGCTGATTTTTGAAAGTACAAGTTTAACGATGATGTGGAAGTGTACCCAACGCCTAGCCAAGAACCACCCTGTCGAACTTAAAGGGGTTGAAGCAAGAAACATACTTTACAAGGACACTATTAAAGGAAGGAGAACGAAAGTTTGTACTCTGGTACGTGCCGTTCTGCTCTACGCTCAGCTTAGAATTGTTTTACATGTTATTCTTTACGCCTAGTAGACACCACCTAAGGCATTGAATGCCTGCCTAGAGGACTGGCAAGTAAGTACCCACAGACACATCGGGTGAAAACATATACATGTTGCACCAAGGTTGGCTAAGGCTCCCCACAAAGCATGACATTCAGTGGTAAATCTATTTCACCTACGTAATGTGCAAAACCGCCATCAATGTCTACACACATCACATTGCCATGTCAACTCAAACCGGGGTTGGGCAATTTGTGGCCTTCCAGATATAGGTGGACTGCAGCTCTTATCAGAGCTTGCCACTGATTATGTCTGATGGGAACTGCATCTTAACAAGATCGGGAGGGTCAACCATCCGAGTACAACATCAACGTATGGGCTAGGCATATATGTCAGAGAACATCTTCCTTTGCTTAATATCATTCATGCTAATAACATGGTGGTAACTGTAAACAGAAAGGCCAGAATCCTACTCTTTATGCTTGAGTAAAGGAAACTGAGCAAGTCTGGAAGCAAGGCGACACTCATTAATAAAACCTGTGGAACATGCAACTACCATCTTGTTAACGAGCAGCAAATTGTAGTCAAGAATTACGCAATCTCCCTTATTCAAGTATACATCTGCAAAAAGACTCTGGCCAAGTGGTCTTAACGCATCCTAATCTGGGAGCAGTGTTTCCTTTCCCTTTAACTGCTGAATTTCCACCCTGCCCTATAAATAAAAATGTCTTTGCTTCCCTTTCTTATTTTAAATGTGAACCGTCACTCCAGTGCCACGCATGTGTTATGCATATCACAGGAATCTATATTCTTATAGCTGCTTTGGTGCCTGCTGGTGGATACACCCAATGCCCCCTGGTTTATAATTCCTCACTGGTTATTTGGCAGTAAACAGCTGCCCTTGTTTCTCCAGAGGTGCTTAGAAAAGATGCCATGGATATTTCTAGAGGAAAGTCAAGTCTAAAGCAGCAGATTTGCTTACTCACTACAAAAGAATATAGGGCAGAACTGAGACAGATCTTTAACAGGCAGGTAGAGAAGGGGCCCATGCATTCAAAACTGTCACATTCTATTGCTCTGGTTGTCTTAAGTTCTAGAAACACATCCAGACATTTAATGAACATACTATATACAGCTCTGGGCTGCTATTTAGAATAATATTTGATTACATTTACCTAGATTTGATTTTAGGTTTGTGAAATTGGGAGCTAAACTGAAAATGTTAAACGTAGAAGCAAATTAGTGCTTGCTGGAAACCCCTGCTACTTACTCATTTACTCTGTGGCACTGCTTTTGGAAATATTAGACACAAGGCCCATGACCTCCATACTAATAATACACACAGTTATTTCCAAAGAGGCGCATGGCCAGGATTTAGACCCTCCTTTGGGTCACAGCTGGAAAATGGTCTTAAAAGGAGACCCCAATGTTTGATCTCAGGAGGCCCCTGTGATGCTGTCTCCCTCTCTCCATAGAAAATACTTTGCCGGTCCCTTTGCACTAAAGATTTTTGTGCCAGGAATGTTTACAGGAAAAGCTTTATGCTTGAAATACAACGCTGTAACTCAAGTTTGGCAGCCAAATCAGAAGAGTGACACAGGACAAGCCACATTTGCCTGAATCAGGAATTGGAGATATAGTGCCGTCATCTCATCCATGCCAAAGGCTTGAACGTTCATACCTGTCCTTGTTGACCCTTTTTTCTTCAAGAGTTCCTGCTCCCATCATGCCTCCAGAAGGAGGAGACCCAAAGGACGACACCACCACCACATTTCTCCGAAGGAAGGGGGCTGCCTTAATATAATCTACACTGGGAGCAATGAGAGGTTTCCACAGCACGCCCAGTGGCGACGCAGGAAAAAAATCAGGCAGACTCTGATGGAGGCGGCTGGGAAGGAGACCAGCCCAAGGCAGTGAATCCAAGGGAGAAATGTAGCAAAAATGCTTCTTTGAGGAGACAGGATTCTTTAAGCTCGCTGAAGCCTTAAATGATCTTCCCCAAGACACGAGCAACAAGCCCTGGCAAAATGGGCCACAATGACAGGCTTGCAGGGATCCCAGCCAAGTCAGGCAAAAGCATGTTAATTTAAGCCCCAATTAGGTCCTGAGCTACACTTCTCATCTCAGCGGAAAAGCAACCCTCTGGTTTCTTGTCTGCAGTGCAAGGAAAATGTTCTGGACGGTCCCACGGACACCAGAGTGGTGTGTCTGTGTGTTAAACACCAGGGGCGGCATTTAGGGTGAGGGTTCGATACCTACTCTGTGCTGCTTTTCATGAGCAAACAACACAAGGTTTTCAAAGCAAGGGTAAAGCTGCGACTGGCGGGATACCGGAGGCCTGATTCGCCCCAGGCACTGCAACCCCTCCTCACGCTTGTAGGGCAGCCTCAGTTGCAAACCTCAAGCTACCTAAAACTCTCCATGCCAAAGCCATCATTAGGTGCTCTGCATCTTTCCAATTTCTAACTTGTCAGCTCCCCCAGCCCCGCTCCACCACGTTAATTCTTCGGATACCTCCTTGAGGAAGGGAAAGGGAAAGCAAGGGCAGGAAAGGTTGTTCACACGGACCCCGAGGGCCGGCGAGACGTTGGGCCAGAGCAACACACGCAGCATAGTTAAACTTGTATTTCCGCCTAAACGCATGAAGCCAGATGCAAACTGGGCTCTGTGGATAGAGTAGTAACATATCTCGTTATATAAATACTTTTTAATTTTTTTAATTACAAGTTGTGTTTTATTCCAGGTAATGTGATTGACAGGGTACCTGTGCATACATACATATGCACGCACGCACGCACGCCCACACATACACACACGCACACAGCCCCTGGGCTTTCACAGAAAGCTCGGCAGCAGCCGATCTAATGGAGGTTTCCCACCTCACAGCAAAGTAAGGTCAGGAAGGGATACACATGTTTGGTTAGCCTCAGCTCGGGGCAAAGACTCAGCCATGTTTAGGAAATACAATAAAAATGGGGGTTAAAAAACCCATTGTATAAAGATCAAAGGAGATTAAAACAAAACAAAACAAAACAAAAAACAGTTCAAAATGTACAAAAACTGCTGGGAGACCAGGAGAAGACATGGTTCCCCCCCTCCCAAAAAAAGTTAATTCCAAGTTGCATCAAAACCAGAAGAGGATAATGTTGTCACACAATTTGTCTGTTTCAAAAGGGGGGGAAATGGACGAGGAGGGGAGAAAGTAGCACGAAAGGACCTCGTTTCTAAGAACGAGGGATTAGCTCCAGAGACCAGCGTAATTCCCGTGGAGTCCAGATGGAAGAGGACCTCCTGCCACAAAGAGTTTCGTGCCGGACGAATCGTAGCAGTGGGTGTAAACAGCATTTGGAAAGAAGCTGATGTCTGAAAAGTAATTTCTCCAAGTTTCGTCATGATTCTGTTAAAGGAAAGTCTCCCATCAGTTTGATTTGCAACCCAGTTAAGCCAAGACCTGATCTCGAACTGCCCTAAACGGGGATTTGTCTTCTGGTGTCAATGAAGAGAATGAGGGTTACTGAGCAAGGGCATGATAAGTTACTCCCCAGGAAACCCAACTTCTTTACAATAAGGGTACGACAGAGACAGCTGGGCAAGCACATGTCCCCCAAAGCTTTGCTGGGACAAGCATTTAAGGATCCAGGTCTCCCACCCAACTGAAGCTGGCCGTTCTTCCTCCATCCCACCATCTGGAACCACAGAGGCTAAGAACACTTAGGGGAAGGGGGAAACAAGTGCTCCTGGGAGCCGCCATCTACGTAGGCTACTGCCAGGAATACGGGAAACCAGGCTTCGCCTTTTTCGTCATTCTCCGGAACATCCCTCCAGGCAGCCACCACCCGTCCGGCTGCCGCCCCCCCCCGGCAATTCTACCTCCCTCTTTATAGCGACAAGCAACTTACCAGCCAACCTTTGCCAGTCGACAGCTTGAGAATTTCACTTCCTCCTAATTTTGATGCGCAGCAACTGTGCGGCGGCTTCTCATCCAGAAACCTCTGGGCTCGGATGTCGTAGAAGAGCAACGAACCCTGCCCTGTTCCCACGGTAATAATGTGTTCGTAGAAGCTGACGGAGCGAATGCCTGTCGCAAAAGAGGGACAAGAATGTTATTAAGTAGGATAATCACCTTTGTCTATGGTTTTCAATAAATGACATTGTGGTTCTCCTGAAGAAGATCTCCCTCTGCTGGAACTCCATGTGTCCAGATGTCATGGGGCGGCGGCCGGGGGGGGGGGAAACGGCCCTCATTTTGCAAGAGACTTTAAATTATCCTTTTGCAGACTCCATTTCCAGGACCTCACAGCTGGACCTCCAGCAGCTAAGATTCTGTGAGCTACAGTCCAATCACCACAAGGAACACTTCCCATCTCTGTGTTTTGTGAAAAGTGCAGCTTATACAGCAGCAGAGCCCACTGACAAACAGCTCCTTAACACAGTGGTCCCCAACCTTGGGGATCCAGACGTTCTTGGAACTCCCAGAAGCCTTCACCACCACCTCTGTTGGCCAGGATTTCTGGGAGTTGAAGTCCAAGAACATCTGGCGGTCCAAGGTTGGGGACCACTGCCTTAACAGATCCTGACTCTGCTTAGGAAGGGTGCAAGCAGCCGTGCCAAGCAACTAGCCTGGCCTGCTTCACCCACCCTCGCCTGCTCTACCACAACTCAACACGTGTCAGGCCAACACAGGAGTAGAGCTGCCCGGGCAACGTTCCTGCCGCGGATGCAGGGAACGAAGATGCCAATCTATTTCCTGAGTCAATCAACATGGCATCCAAATGCGGCGGGATGCGCTCTCCCGTCTCCTGCATACAACCACAGAGACCGAAAACCAGAAGCTTTCACACTAGGAGAAAGCTAGCAACGCAACAGTGCCTTTCAAGGTATGCCTTTCATCAGGCCCAACAGATTCCTTTACTTCTTTTGACTCTGGCTGCTGAGAAAGGTAACGGCGGGAACCTCCGAGACAGCTCCTGTTGGCTTTCTCTTTCCCTACACAAAGATCCTAACACGCGTTCCAAGCTGTGTTCCCACACCAAGGTGGGCTTTAGTTCACGCTTGTCCTAAAAGGTGCCACCCTCAAGGAGGAAGTAAGAAACTGGGTGTATCCTGAGCCTTCAGTGCTATGTTGCTATCTGCAGCATTTTCTCACCCTCTGGGAGCAGGCTCAGCTTTGACTCTAAGAAAACTCTGTAACTGATGAAGCTCTGTTTTCTCTGTTGGGTTGGCGACGGTGGTGCTAACATGTGGGCCCTTCACTACTGAAGAAAAGTAAGACAGTGTTGTGGAAGTAAGAAACTGGGTGTATCCTGAGCCTTCAGTGCTATGTTGCTATCTGCAGCATTTTCTCACCCTCTGGGAGCAGGCTCAGCTTTGACTCTAAGAAAACTCTGTAACTGATGAAGCTCTGTTTTCTCTGTTGGGTTGGCGATGGTGGTGCTAACATGTGGGCCCTTCACTACTGAAGAAAAGTAAGACAGGGTTGTTTGGGCTGGTACCACAGGCAAGCTCTTACCATGTGACTGATTTCCAGCATGGTCATTCCGAGAGACAAAAGGATCCAGCACATGACATTACAGTGGTGCCTCACTTGACCAGGATAATTCGTTCCGTTCAAATCACTGTTAAGCTAAATCCTCGTCAAGCGAAACAAAAAAGCCCATTGAAATGCACTGAAAACCGTTTCAATGCGTTCCAATGGGCTAAATACCTCATCGTAAAGCAAAGATCCTCCATAGGGCGGCCATTTTCCAGTACCTGTATAGCGAGGAATCTGTCCTAAAGCACAGCGGGCAGCCATTTTAGAGCCGCTGATCAGCTGTTTTAAAATTGTTGTCTAGCGCTTCACAAACCGATCATCGTGATGCGAATATTTCCTATTAGAACACCGTTTTGCGATCGCAAAAAACTCATCGTCAAGCGGTTTCATCATTTAACGAGGTAATCGTTGAGCAAGGAACCACTGCACAGCAAGATGCAACTGCTGAATTTCACATCTTCCTGACAATACATTTTCTCTCTCTCTAATTGTGAGATTATACACATACAACGAAATTCACAAATATATTTTCTCTCTCTCTAATTGTGAGAAAACCTGATTTTATGAAGTGCTGATTACTGGGTGTGGGAACATATTAAGAGCACTAGCTACTTTAGGTCACATCAAAATGCGCTCAGAAGAGACAAACAAGGAATTATTAAATGAAGATCACACCAAGGTTTGATTCCGTTCCACCTACAAAAGAGTGAGATGACTTAATGCCAAGCTAAAGGCAAAATGTAAGACTGGATCATGTTTTTATGAACCTTTGGCCACAGTGCCTGGCCTGGCTTACCCCTAAAGACAACTTGCTCAAAGGGTCAGAATCAGAAGACGTTCACAAAAGAAGCTGCACACGGGGAGCTTGGTATCTATTGGCACACTACAAGTGGAACACCGCTGCGTTTTGTACAATCACAACAAGAATACAGTACTGAGTAAATTCATTAATGACTTGGCAAAAAAAAAATTGCAAAGAAATCAACTGCGGAAATTAGCAAGAGCTTCTGGATAATACAATCCTAGTTCAAAAATGGTTTTAATTCATTGGAAAAATGGGCAGAAGTAAACAGGATGAAATGCAGCAAGCAGAAACGACTGTGTCTGGTAAGAACCACCATCAGCGCAACCGCTCCTTAAGGAATGAGCAAGCAGCAAGCCATCCAGAGAAGATGGTGGGAGAGAAGCCCCTCACTGAGCAGCCTACAAGTCAGCAAAGGAGTGGCCAGCAAAGGGAGCTCTTATCAGATGGTGCTGAGTTAGTAGGAGAATTAGAAGACTGACATGAGATATATTTCTTCCACGCCACGAAGGAGATCTTTACAGGAGCAGCAGCTTCCCTCCTTCCCCTATCACTGTATGTGAAACATCCCCCAAACTAAAGCCGAGACTGCAGGAGTCCTGGAACGGCCAAGTCTCCATCACTTAAATGTCTTCAGTCACAGATTAAGCAATAACGGTTTGGATAATCGGGACTAGAGGCAGTTCATCACTGAAATAAGATGACCAAGTAGAATCACTCCGGTAAAAGCTGGGAGGGAACTGGGATTGATAATTGCCCATGATTCTTCTTTGTTTCTCAGAGGATGTGAGTATAAATAGACTGACGTTTATAGATACAACAGCTACTATGCAAATCGGATTTCTAGATTCGACTTTACAGACAGCCGACTATCGTCAAGCCTAAGAGCAATGCATTAGCATGCATTAGCGTTCCTGATTCCTCTAAATACTTCTGAGCCAACATTCCTGGTCGATGTGAATAAGAATGAGACTACCACACAAATCCTGGACTCCTTACGCTAACAAGATGTACGGTTAAAAAATATATAACATATTTGGCAATTTGCAATGACACAGCACGCTACCTGGGAACAGGAAAACAGTCAAAACAGTCAAAGTCTACTAATACCCGGTCACCCCACTTGTGTGACGTGGCCTTCATACAACACGAGGGGTTCCAAGACATTCTTAAGTGTAAAGATCGTAAGTGTCATTGTGGGGAACCTCATTGCAGGGATGTGCCACTCTTTAAAAAAAATAATCTAAATCTTAGAATTCTCCTCTATTTGGGAGTTCCAAACGCCATGTCCACCCCTGAATTGTGTACACCTGGAGAATGGCTTCATGGCCCAGGATAGGCCCAGCCTAGATGCCTGTTACAAAGGAAGTGGCCCCAGTGAGGTCCAGAAATGCCTCTCTCCAGCTGAGCAAAATTTAGATGTGGGTCTGGTAGGCAGAATCCTCGGAATGGAAAATTCTAGGATTTGGGAGGTTTTTTTAAAAAGAGCCTCCCGGCACAGTGGTCAAACTCTGCTCACAACTAGGGTTCAATCCCAGGAAGCCGGCTCAAGGTTCACTCAACCTTCCCTCCCTCTGAGGTTGGTAAATTGAGTACCCACCTCGCTGATTGGTGGAAGGTAATGTGTAGCTTGCATCATTAATTTGTAAACCACCCAGAGAGTGTTGTAAGCACCATGGGGCAGCACGCTTTGCTTTTGCTTTTAAAAAAGGCGCCCGGCTAACACATAAATTCTTAATAACAGGGAGGCTCGTTGTAAAGAGACCTTACCGCTGCCTCGCTCCCTCGAACAGACCGACTTCACATTGTGAGAAGGCTGCCTTGGATCCAAAAACGAGACATGCGCCTGAGATCCAACAGCATACACAGACCACTCCTGACCATAGGCCAGACACACATTCTCCCGGCAATACGGCAACTTTGTTGACAGCAGCTGAAAAGAGAGCCATGAGAAACAAAAAAGTGCGATAAATCAGCAGTCAGCACCATGAATTATTTTATTTATTTATTTCACTTATATGCCGCCCACACTACCCAAAGGTCCCTGGGCGGCTTACAGCAATTTAACTACAGTAAAAAAGATAAAACAATTAAAATATATACTCTAAAAGTTGCAGTTGGGACCCACAGTTGATATTATTTCAATTAAAAGCCTTCTGGAACAGGAAGGTTTTGACCTGGCGGCGAAATGTCATCAGCATCGACGCCAGACGAATCTCAGTTGGGAGGGCATTCCATAGTCTGGGGGCAGCTGCCGAAAAGGCCCTTTATCTACAAGCCATCCCTCTTACCTCCTTGAGAGATGGCTCTTTCAAAAGGGCCCCCTGGCTAGATCTTAACTGCCGGGTGGGCTGATATGGTCTGTCAGGGATCCAGGGCCCAAGCCGTTTAGGGCTTTATAGGTCAAAACAAGCACTTTGAATTGGGCCTGGGCAGCAACTGGTAACCAATGTAATTTAATCAGAATCGGCTTGATGTGTCCCCTAGCGGCCCCACCACTCACCAGCCGCGCCGCTCGATTCTGGACCAGTTGCAGTTGCCGGACTGTCTTCAAAGGCAGCCCCACATAGAGGGCATTGCAGTAATCTATGCAAGATGTAACCAGTGCATGTGTAACTGTCATGAGACTCCGCTCATCTAGGTAGGGCCGTAGCTGGTACAATTTCCGCAGCTGAAGGAAGGTGCCCCTGGCCACCGTCCCCCTGGCCTTCCAGAGTTAGACTGGGGTCCAGGAGCACCCCCAAGCTGCGGTCCCTGTCCCTTAAGGCAGGGAAATGGCCCTCCAGCCTGTCCAGCGAAGCACCCACTAACAGCACTTCCGTCTTCTCTGGATTGAGTTTCGATTTATTAACCCTCACCCAGTTCATTATCAGGTCCAGACACGAGTTCAGCACAGAAACCGCCTCACCTGGACTGGTGGAAAACGAGAGGTAGAGCTGAGTGTCATCAGCATATTGCTGACTCCTCAGCCCAAACCTCCTGATCACCGACCTCCCAGACTCAATCAGAGTGCACTGCCTCTTGTTTAATCTGGATGTGACCTCAGCCCTGTGTAACAGAGGCAAGGTCTGTTTGATCCGCGCAGGGTTTACAGCTGGCCAGCCAGTCTGAGCTGGGAGCTGGCCCTCCGGGCGGCGAATACTGACTGCACCTCCCCTGACGCAACCACACCAGGGAAACCCCTGAAACTGTATGCCGGCTCTTCCGGGAGTCTTTCAGGGTGGGCAGGAAGGTGGCATGCAACTTCATCCGACCTGGTTGCAAAACTTTGGTCTGCAGTAAAACAGCCCACTGTACATTCAATTTAACTTCTTGTTGGAGAAGGAGAGGGCATTTTACTATCAAAGTGATCTGTGTGTGTGGGGGGGCTAGAGTCAAAGGTTCTGAACGTGGCTGGCTCTTCTTCTGTCCTCAGGATCTGATAAAAACCATTTCTATCTAGTACATGCAGCAAGTCACCTTTGACAGCGTGTATTCGGCTTTCCAGAGGTGAAAATATCCGTCCAAGGACACAGCTCCCAACTCCTAGAAGAGAAGAACAGTTCTTATCGATCTGGTAGTCTTGGGAATAAACACACAAAACACAATTGTGTATTAAAGGATTCCTGCTGCTATGCCATACTAAAAAACAGAGTGATTGAAAACTGCTGGGGAGGGATTGAGGGAGCTCTGACTGTGGAGTCAGAGATCACAAGTTCGATTCCCCCCTGAGCCTCCTGGACAGGGGCTGGACTGGATGATCCACAGGGACCCCTTCCAGCTCTGAAGTTCCAAGATTTTAAGATTAAGACCCTCCAGCTCAAAATAGTAATGTGTATCTCTCTGCCTAGCATCCCAATTCTTTGACATGGAAACGACACAACTGACATAATTGGAAAGCATGGAGGCTATGCCCTTTTAGTCCCTTCTTCAAATAAAACACAGAGTCCAGATTTTCACCATGAACTCAGCTTTTTGTGTTCCCCTTCGAAAATCAAGGGGGGAGCAAAATTGGCTCCTGGCCTCCACTTCACCAGTTTCTGAGAAAAAAAAATCACTTGTTTAGCAATGTAGAGAAATGGCTGTTTTCTTAGTTGGTTCTGTTAATCTGTAACACCTGCCAAAACACGCAGATTCTTCCCTTCCAGGAAATGTTATAATTTTGGACCATTTGGGATTTGATACAAGAAAATGGGTTCTACGTATTTAAAAAAGCAAGAATTAAAAGGGAAATGGGCTTTGTGGAATCCCACACACTTAATTCCTGGGAGACTCCAATAAGCCACTGCTCAAGCTCAGGAAGCGGAATATAATTTTCAGTTATTTAAGGTTCTCTTAAGTTAGACGAGAACCAATGAATGGATAAGGACTCGGATGCAATGGAAGTAAAGTCACCAGCAATTGTAAAGTTATGATTTTATACCTCGGGGCATCTTATTTTGCTTACTCACCTTGTTCTTGTTGTTAAAAGCAAGAGCGCGGACCTTGCAGTTGTCTGGATTCGTATTCTCTTTTGGGATGTCCTTCAGAGCCCTGTGTGTTATGTGAGCGTAGACAGGAACTCGAGACAAGTTGCGCCTTGCGTCACTCTTGGCCAGAACGTCGTCTGTCACTTCCCAGAGCCCCATCGAACCGTCTCGTGATCCTGCGGAAGACAGGACACTGGTCCCTCACCGAATTTCCCTTGAAATGGGCCAAATGCTCAGCACACACTGCCTCCGTGCCGTGTATCCTGCCATGGGTCCTTTTGCGCAACTAAGAGGCCCCCAAGCCTTACGTGAACACCACTAAGAAACCAGCCATCGTGTTATAAAAGTTGCACACAAATGCCCAGCGTCCAGACTTTCAATCTTTTACAACACTCTGGCATGTTGTGACTGAAGACCGATCAACATCCGACAGAATGGAAGGGATTTGTATAAATACAATCTGCTTCCAGAGAACCTCAGATCGACGCTTGATGAGATCGTCGCCTTTACAGATGGCAGTGAGCAAAAAGAGAAAGAAAAAAAAACAAGCACCAACTTCCTGGCATTCTTCGGCTGCCTTTTCTTTTTTAATGGCAAGAAAAGGTCCATTGACTTCGGATGCCAGCCTACAGCGCAAGACCCAGCGAACTCTCCTGACAGGTGCTTGTTTCACTCAACACACCTGATGGCCTGCTGCTTACTCGGTTGGGGAGGCAATAAAGCACAACCCTGATGCCTACACATTTTTTTGGCTTGGTCCCTGTTCGGAACACACATGAAAGCCCCACAGAAAAGCTGGGGGCAGAGGAGAGGCTGGCTGGGCTCAGAGGGGATGCAGGAGATTCCAGGCAAGTTCAGTTTGGGGTGGAAGAAAGAGAGACGAGAAGGCAGGGTTTGGATCAGACAGCCTCGCCACCCCCTCCTTCACCCCACCAGCCCGTATAGGAGGGCAGCTGGACGTCAAGGGGAGAATGCAGACGAGCGTGCCAGTTTTTCTGGGCTCTTCAGGTGCGCACATATCGCTGACAGAAAAGAAGAGGAGGAAAAGGAGAGCGTGGTTTACTTTTAAAGGCAGAGGGTGAAGTTTTGAAGGGAAACATGAATAACAGCAGCAGCCAAAACAAAACAACACAACAGGGAAGGATGGGAAAAGATACATATTAAATCTGCTCCATGAGTAGGGAAGGGAAAGAACGGAGAAGCAACCAGCTCTTGAATGGGGAAAAAAAATGAGCATGCCTTTGTTGCCATAAAGAGAGACAAATTTTAATCCTAAAAGAAGAGCGCAGTCCAACCGCATACGTATGTATTACAGAGCAATTACGGAATCATTTTCTCTGACTCTGCAGGCTCCACCGGGGAGGAGAGATACTTGTTCCTGCTCATCATCTATATCGCCCGGGATTAATTTAGCCGCCCATCACTGTCATTGTTTCCAGAGCAAGGCTTCCTGGGAGGGGACGTGAATATCCACAGGGGGCCTTAAAGGCCATTGCCAGGTGTGAAATGCTGCACCACCAACAAGCTGTGCCCGAAGGCAGTCCCTGGTTTTGGGGCCAGGTATAATAAATGTATAAATATCTGCCATGTAGCCCCACTCTTATGTCTAAGGAGGATGACGAAAGCTCACCTTAAAATATATCAGTTAGTCTTTAAGTTACCATAAGATTTTTTTTGGTCTCTTTTTAATTTTATTTTTGCCTGGTACTCTAAATCCTCAAGATTTCTAGCCTTCATGGCTATTTCAGAAACACTAGAATACGCGTGACACGGACCCCTAGATGCCCCCCTGCCCAAATAAAACTGAACTTAGACTTTTCGACTAAGAATGGTGGGTTTAGTGGTGCGGCTTCCTATACATTCAGGAATCACCAACACTTTACCAACGCAGCCAAGGTCATTCAACCTATCCAGCCCTAACTCCATGTCCTTCTTTACTTTCATATATTTTGCAAGGCAGGGTCAAACCATGATCTTGGATACCCCATCTCAGAGGGTATGTGGGAAACATTCTTAGTCCATCGTGAATGCAGATTGTGGGGGTTTGCTCGATACTGAAATGTCATTTATTTATTTTCTGCAAACACACATACCTGACAACACCAAAATGCTGGCAATAAGGCAAGCTGAGCTTGTACTATATCCAATCTTTCTCGTTCCACTCCCAAATTTTTAAAGACATGTGTTATTCAAAACCCAGAATTCACAGATTGATCCTAGCTGTGCTGTTACTAGCTACATTTATCAGATTCGGGCAGCAATTTGTATGCAAATCAGGCTACCGTCGCAGCATTTCCTTTAAGCAAGTAAAAGGCTCCACAAGAGTGAGATACCGCCCTTATGAAGAGATTATGCAGTTTTTTTGCATTTCTTTTAGGTTGTAGGGACGAAATTAAGAGAAAAGAACCTTCACAACCAGTTTAAGCACTTTGCATAGATATGGTTAAAAATGCACATATTTGAAATCTTAGCAGCTGCAAAAGGAGTGATAGTCTGCCATGTTCCAAGACTTGCCATAGGCATCAAGTTATTCAAATTTTTACCGGAAACAGCCAAGGTGTCGCTGATCCATGCAATTGAAAAGATCCAATCTTTGTGGCCATCCTAAAGAAAGAAAAGAATGGAAGCATAAGATGTTGACATCATGGGAAAAAGTTTCATATTGTTTGTTCTGAACACTTTAATGCAACTAGTTTTCCTGCAACAAGCATGCTGTCATTCCAACAACTGGTATCTAGGGAAATCTGTGAGGTGACATTTTTATCCTTCTGCAACAGAGATTTTTAAACAAGTAAACCAAAGCAATTCTCCTTTCAAATTACACTCATGTTGAACATTCTGTTCTATTCTAGCCTCCTTTTCCCCCAAAGGGGAACCAACATTTTAGATATTCCATTTCTCTCTCTCTCTCTCATACACACACACACACAAACAAACACACAAATTACTACCACATCCAATGCCTGACAACTAACCTACAGTGCACGCTCTTCTTTGCTATAGAGAGGAACTTACATCTCCCACACAAACAGGATCAAGTGTAGGCAGACGATAAATTGCGAGACTGTTTGGGTTATCGCCTCCAGTAGCCAAGAGGGTCCTTGAAGGATTCAGCTCAATAGCATGGATTCCACATCCCTGCTGGTTTACCATATCAGGCTCCCGGTCCTTTAGAATGGGAATCTTGGTAATCTGGCCAGTCTGAACATCGACCACGAATAACTGAAAGAGATCAAAACCAGTATCAGAAAGTTGCCTACCAAGAGGCTGCTGAGATTATTATATGCTACGATATCGAACCATTCAAGAATGTCAATGAAGAAACAAGAAATTGTTCAAGTCTCATCTCTGTACCCAACGGATGACCCGAAAGAGGCCAGCGTCCTTCAGGGTCCTATATCCATCCCACTATTATAATAATGCAGGTTGCACTGAGCAATCTTGCAGGGCTCTGGCAAGGACTGCAGCAAGATAGAGGAAATCAAGTTCAGGTGCCACAGAGAACACTATTTAAAAACTGAAGTAAAATCTCCCCTGTCCACAGAGGCGTGAAAAGAGTTATGCAAATCAGAGGTTCACGAACACATTGGAACAAGTCCTATATATTTACCCTACGAGTTGCATCATCTGATGTTTCAATGGTATGATAACAGCAGGTTCTCAGAATTGCCTAAAACCATGTCTTTTGAAAATACAAACTGCACAGATTCATACGTACCACATTCAACTACCAGAATAAAAGGGAAAATGTGCAGTTAAGATATATTTTATTCCTGACATAAAGGATTTGCTTTATGTAACCTGCCCAGATGTACTGAATTATGTGTCTATGGTGAAATGCAGAAATAAACCTAGCCCATTTTGAGTGTGATATGGTGGACAGAGTGACAACAACAAGAGAGACTTGGGTTCAAATCCCTGGTTACCCAGGGAAATTCACTCGGGATGGCACTGATAAAAATCACTAGATATGGACGTTTAATATGATCAGAGGTGTTTAGTGGTTTGGCGCCCTGCTCCCCTCCAATGGGCACCACTCAGAAGCAGCGTCCAGGCTTCCCTGTCCCACCTGCTCTGCTTCTGTGTGGGCACCCACCTGGGTGGTGGCGGACCAAAGTGTCGAACAGCTGTTGTAGTGGTAAACAAACCGGCATGAACCACCAAACCGCCAGTTCGTGTTTATCTCTAAAAATAACCTTTTAAACATTTCACATACTTGACAGCCTTATTAGGAGGCTACTATACATTGTGACTTACAGTGACTTGACACTTGTTTGATTCCGGTTGTTAAAATCAGGGAACACTAACTGGATTTTTGCAAGTACGACCAATGACAAAAAAATAATAATAATCCTATGGTACATTGCATTTTATAGGGCATAACTTTTTAGGCAATCGCAGCTAGCTTATTCAGATGCATGGAGTGTGGCTTCGGTAGACAGGTTTACAGTGACATGGAAGACAAAAGATAAAATATAATGGTACAACAACAAAATGGCAGTATGAGAGCAATGATTTCAACGACACCAGCATCAACAACGCTATCAATGGATAAAATGATACAAGGATAAATGATATCAGGAAAGCACCACTGCCCACAAACCCCTCCAGTTCCTAATGAAGATGGGCATGGCTCATTTCCTGGCCAAACAGTTGACCCGTGGATTTGGTGCCCCACCTCCCCCAGCGGGCATCCACTCAGCAGCAGGGCCCCGCTCCACCTCCTCTGGGTGCTGCCTTTGAGTGGGGCGCCTGTTGGGAGAGGCAGGGACACTGAACTGCGGATCAGCAGTTCAGCCAGGAAATGAACTGTGCCAAACCGGTGGTCCGTGTCCCTCTCTCAAAGCCTTCAGATCCATCCTCGGGGACTGGCAGCCCGTTCTGAACAAGGATAACTTCTCCGTCGTGGTCGTTGGGTGGGGGGGCCTCTACCTGTGTGCAGACAGAGGCCCAAGCTGACAATATTACTCGGCAGCAGAAATACAGACCTCACACAGAAATACAGGCACTAGAATCAGACCCTCTCACCGATCCAGAGGCCAATTTTGTCCCTAGCTCTACAAAGGAAACTCTCTGAAAGGTACCAATAATGTAATTATTCTACAACATCTGCTCATCTTCCAACGTGACATATGGCACTTTTGCCAGCAATCCCTCAGGGAGTTTATAAACAGGATATACAGGCCAGACTCCATACAAAACAGACAACAACTCAGTTTACCCGGACATCTAAGGGTATCCATCCTTGGAGGGGGGAATCAAATACAAACAGAGTGGATTTGATTCAATTCATGATTTAAATTTTAAACATTGGACTTTTGATAATTTAAAATAAAAATCATTTTTAAATATTTAAATTGTGATTTAAATCAATTTCATTTAAAAAAAAACACACACATTGATTTTTATCCACCCAAAATATGAATTTCAAAGGGAAATAGCTAGACAACAACAACTTAGGACGTTCAACTCTCTCTTTAAATAAAGGGTCTCTTATCTAATGATAAACATTAATCAGATCATTCATGCAGATCTGTATGTATTACTACACTGACAGCTTGATTATAATTTCATTCTGTCCTATCTCCACCGCAGAGCTGATGTGCATATATACGTACCCAACGGCGGGCCACGTCCTTCCACTATAAGCACAAGTTCTTTCTTACTTTGAGTATGCGACCTACGAATGACTCCCAACAGCCACCCTCGAGATTTCTACCTGTCTTTCCCAAGGACTGCCACATGATTAACCATCAATGTACCATCTGCATTTCTGTCTTCCTCAACACTGTACAAATGTCCGTTTACCAAAACCATAAGCTGGGGATCTGGAGCAGGAGGGGTGGGTGGGAAATGTAGCAGTACCTTCTACAAAAATATCAGCTCCCAAAAAGGAGAGGACGGGTCTGGATCAAAAAAAGTCTCCCTGCTGAAAACAAAAGCAAAGGGACAGAAGGGAAGTGGAACCTGATGTAAGAACGAGAAAAGGTATATTTCCTTCATTTGCACGAATTTCAACCTAAAGGTATTGATATGGTGATTGATTTGAGGGGCTTCTCCAAGACTTCTCTGAAAAGTTACTTCTGCTTAGCTATTGAGAAAGCTCTTCCAAGGCCACAACATACGACCGTGTTTAAAACGTGGAGAAACAACCTTCTAGGGATTTGGTTTTCCCTAAACACAGGCTAACGTTTTATAGTTTTTACTCTTTGCATTAGAGAAGGCCTGCCATTACAGTATCTCCATTTTACAAGCACTCCACATTTCCTGAAGGATGCGAAAGCTGCGCCACATCGGGGCAGAGACTTGAAACCTAGATTTCTGTTTCATTTATATGTTGAATTTAAATGTCTCCTTCCAGTGTTCATTCTTCAACACAACTTACAGACATGTTCACAAAGTACTATGTCTTGTGGACGTTTTCCTAAAGTGGGTGCAAGTCGCACAATAGGCAGTCTGACCTTGTACTCAACATCTCAAAGGCGGACTTGAATCTCAGATGCAGCCACTTCAAAACAAGGACACTGTAAACATTTCTGGGCAGTGTTTTTCCTGGGAAAGGTAGTTCTTTTGGAGGTGTCTTTGAGGCAGCTTCCTTCCTGCAGCAAGAAACGAAGTTGCAGAATGCCACACAGCCTGGAAGAACGAGGCCCTGCTCCAAGTGAGTGAAATATAGACATCTATAGGTGTGGGTCTGTGTGGCCAGAACTCTTGGAAGTCTGCCTGGGGAATTCGTGGAGATGGAGTTCAAAAAATCCAAATGGCACATCCTCACTATTTAGACTGCCAGTGTCGTTTTCTACAGCTACAAAGAGCATAGGTGGCAAAGACTGCATTTCTGCTGTGGAAGGATGAAGAGCCATCGTTTCATTTACCCAAGTACTATGAGGAAGTGAGAAGGGAGAGCGATCTATGGCTCTCTATATGTTCCTGGGACTTCCCATCACCTAAACCAGCAGAGTTAATTGTGATGTGTGAAGCAGGTTGCAATCCTAAGAAAATCAGGAGGAAATGCAGAAAAAAGCATGCATCCCTATGCTGTAGGATCTAAAGAATATTTACGATATGGACCTTTAAAAAAGAGAAAGAGGCACTTCAGTAACTGCAGACGTGCTCAGAAGCACAAATACCAGCAGCAACACACACACACACACACACTCTCTCTCTAGCCCAAGTGCTGGAGGGGAGAAGAAGCCACCCACCTTGATCTCAATCTTCTTTGAGATCAGACTGATAAATACTGCAAAAGACACATACGTACTCAGCTTTGCTGGACAAGTCCAGTTCTACCATATGCACCAAAAATCCCTTTGATTTTACATTCCGGGCTGCCGCTAAGGCAGTCAAATCAAGACTCTGATGCGTTAAAGTTTATCCAGCTTGACGTACTGTAACACTAGAACAGAGATACAGTGGTGCCTTGACTGTATCTTGACCTACGAACATTTTGACTTACGAACAGCTCCAGTCACAAAATTTAGTTTCAACTTGCGAACGGAGCTTCGATTTACGAACAAAAAAAAAAAAAACCACGGGGAAGGCGGGAAATTTGAACTTTCAGTTAACTGTTGACCAGCGGTTAGAGAGTATGGATATGGAGAGAGACTTCAGACTGCCTGAAACTGCACTGTACATACTGCATTTTTTGGCTTTTTTTAAAAAAAAATTGATTTTTGGATGTGGACTAGGTGGGGGGTTAATGTTCCTGTGCTCTGATGGGTCTTGCATCTAACCTGTGCTTAGGGCTATCAGCATCCAAGGGGACGGGGGGGGGAGGGAGTATCAAGAACTCAGTACTCACAGTGTTGCACTTTGTTCCACATACCACCTGCCGGTGATTCAGCCACTGAGAGGCAAACACTTTATTAAGGGTCCCAAGATGAAATTCTCTTTCTTTCAGGAGACTTGGCAGTTGCTGGGCTGCGTATCCGTGCAACAGTCGGTGGTAGCTGGACTCATTCTGTACATGCACTTCCCTTCCTTTCAGGTAGCACACCAGTGACCTTTTTACCGGAGGGAGCCGCTTCCTTTTATGGACTGAGTGATCCCAGCCATACTGTGGAGGGAAAAATCAACAGGTCAGAAAAAAATTGCTTCCATGGGATTACTACTGGATGTTTAGACTTTCGATTTTGTGGTTCTTCCCTGTGTGTGCGTGTGCGCATGACTCTGCCCTGCCCCGCATGCACGAGGGATTATTTTGCAAATCTGTTGCACGGAGGGGAAGGAAAGCTGTCCCAGATGAAGGCAGAGTCATGCACCCAACCATGCACCTTAGAGGGATCCTTGATGAAGTTTCTAAACAATTTTGAAAGATGGGGTACAAATTTTATTTATTTATTAAATTTATACCCCGCCCCTCTAGACACATGTCTACTCTGGGCGGCTAACAATAAAAATAGAATAAAAGCAGTATAATAAAATAAAAAGCAGCAATAATAATATAGTTAAAGATGGGGAAAAAATAAAAAATAATCAAGTGATAATTTGATTAATCAAGTGTATAGATAATAATACATTTTCCTATCAAAATTCAGAAGATCTCTTTGGGAAAGCTATTACAGTTGAACAGATATAGATATGTGGCTTAAATGTCGTGGGAAAGAATTCAAGGATCTTTGATCACCTCACAACCTCTTTCCAAGTTTAGGGTTCATAAGAAATCCAGTAATAATATCAGATTATATAACAGGACACAGTACAGCTGTTTATCAGAAGCACTTTAGAAGTCATTGTCAGAAGAAGCCATCGGCACTTCAGCTCACTTCTAGATTACACGGTTTTGTTTTGTTTTCTCCCTGAGCCAAGACGCAATTGTTCCATTTAAAAACATACGGCTAATTCAGTTTCATTAAATTAGAGAGCCGTTTGAGTCTGCAGTTTAAAATACCTGAGCGAGCGAAAAGAGAAAACAAGTGTTATAAGCTGCCAAACTCTGTCATAGGCAGAAATAACATTTTAAAAGGAAGGGGATTTGTAACTTTCTAGGTAAACCCATCCAGTCTGCAGCAGGTATGAGGACTTTACTTGGGAGACAGAAGCTGAAGTTCCTGCTCAGCAACAATTCAGATCGGTGCTTCTCTGGACTGTTTATGAGAACTCAACCGTGAGGTATCATTTAACACACTCTCAACTTTTATTTTTAAACTGGTGAAGACATCTTCACTTTGGTTAGGCTTCTGCCCTATTTAGGACCAAATGTTTTGTTCACTAAGGTTAGCAATTTGGAGGGGAGACTACCAGGGATCATGAGGTGCTGAACGTCCCGCTTCAAATTAGGAAAACTCTTGTTACTTTTTGAACGTTTCTCCTTAAACCTATTAATTAATCTATGTAAGAGGCAGAGAGGAGGGAGGAGTTAAAACCTGACTCTTTCCCTCTGAAGCTACATTTTTTAAGCTGCAGTCCTTACGCCCCTTTTCTCTTTTTATGTATGAAGGCGCATTCAGGCGCAGGAGGAACCTGACATAAACAGGGGGCTGAGTGACCGTTTTTGGGAGGTGAAAACCTTTTATGCTTCCTCAGAGCATCACAGGAAAAAATAAACCAGGACCCATCCCAGTCAAAACAGACTGAATGGGCTCAAAAAAACCTTCACAGTAGGAACTTTCATAAAGCAATTAAAAGCTCAAGTTCCGGACAAGGCAAAACAGGTCCTGTTGGCCATCTGGGAGAGGACAAAGGCCCGTTTGGCCTCTTTTGGGAGGAAAGCTTGGATCCAAGGGAAGACCTTCCTTGGAAGCTCAACCTGCCCGGTTTTTTTGGAGCCCATCCAGGCTGCTGGACTGGGACCAGCCCTCTTTTCCTGTTTTCGGGAGGCCCAGGGACTGGGATGCAAAGAGGGCTCCCGGCAGGCCTTGGGGAGGGGGACCTTTGAGGATGCAGCGACCCCC